AGGAAGTTCCAAGTTTAGTTTAGTACAGTTCCAGTTCCCATCCTGCCTACAAGCAGAGCAATCCCACTCTCATTCATATTGTATATTGAGTTTCTCGTTAAGATTTTGTTTGAAAAATATATTCTATTGTAAGAAAAACTGCCAACAAAAATATTTTTTTTAATTTGCTAGAGGGTGTGTATGCTCACTGGAGAGGGACAGAGAGAAAGGAAGGAGGGTGAGAAAATACCTCTCATGGGGGGTAGTCACACTGTAATCCTTCTCCATGTCCGTCCTTGTGGGATTTCTTGGGCACTCACGCACATGCGCCCTGCATATTTCTTAAGCTATGAGGTCTGGGCTCAAACTGCACAATCAACCATGTGGGATCCAGCCGCCTAAACCACACCACTGGTTGTCCCCAAATAACCTATTGTACAAAATAAAAAACATAAAGATTTTATTTGAACAGAGATCATTAAATCTATTGTATAAGAAATATTTTGGGGACCAACAGGTGTCATGGTAGTTCAAGGTGTTGTACTCCCACTTGGCCGACCATGGTTCAAGTCCCAGACCTGGTGGACCTAGTGGCTTGCTTTCTCACTTTCCTTCTCTCTCTGTGTGTCTCTGATCAAACTGGAAAGTAATAATAATTAATAAAGTTAAATATTTTTTAAATATTTTTATTTTTTCATTGTGCCGACAGGCACATGTAGTTGCTGGAGAGAGAGATGAAGTGATGAAGCACCCGCCATGGGGAATGGTCACACCACAGTTCTCTTCTCCTTCATCGCCCTCCTTTCAGGGTTTTGGGCACACACACTTGCACCCAACATATATTTCAAGCTGCAAAGTCAGGATTTGACTGCGCAGTCAGCTCTCTGGACTCCAGATGCCTCACCACCACACTGTGGGCTGGCCCTATAAGAAGTATCAATGAAGATCTGTTGCATAGTTTTGGTGTTTCTGAAAGTATTAAGATTTTGAAATAATTTATTATGTTCTTTATACTGTTTTTATTATTATTACATTTTGGAAACTCATTTTTCTTTCCATTTCTTCTAAGGGATAATGGGATTACAGTGGGCAAAGCATCTTGGAAATGCAGTCAAAGTTACAATTAATGACTTGAATGAAAACTCTGTGACATTGATTCAGGAAAACTGCCATTTAAACAAATTGAAAGTGGTAGTGGACGGCAAGGATAAGGAAGAGAGTGATGATACTGTGGGAGGAGAAGAAAGCCTCGGCAATATTAAGGTGACCAAAATGGATGCCAATGTACTGATGCACTTGAGGTCTTTTGATTTCATGTAAGTGAAAAAGATTTCCTATGTCACTTTCTGAACTGATCTTAAATTTAGAGGGAAGGGTAGTTAAAAATAAAAACCATTTGTTGTTTTTTTGACATCAGTCTAATGTTTCTGATTTAAAACATTTTCTAGCATTTAAATATAATGCCTGAACATGACACTTTTCCTCCCATTTATTTTTATATATCTGATATATCATACGATAATTTTCTTACTTACTTTGAAAACAAAATTAGGGAGGCAGCCAGTGGTATAGTGGTTAAGGATTCCAAACAGCCAAATGTGTGGTTTGAATCTCTGACCCTGCTGCTTGAGAAACACACCAGGCACGTATGCATGCATACACTAAATCCTGTGGGGAGGGAGAAAGGGAAGAGGAGATTGTGGAATGACCATTTTCCATTGATTGGTGGGGGTGCCCTCTGGTAAATGAAAATAAAAATAAAAATTTTTTAAAAATGTTTTCAAAATAGATTTGCAAAGTTTTTGTTGTTGTTGTTTGTTTTGTTTTTAGAGAGATTTTTGTTATAGGACATGTGCTCTTGCCAAAGGGGCAGAGACAGAAAGTGAGAAATCACTGCCTACCCCCGCCACTGCCAGGGGTATGACCACACCACAATCCCCTCTCCATTCTCCTCCCAGGATCTTGGGCACCCACATAAATGCACCCAGCATGAGTTTTAAGCCGCCGGGTGCAGGACTCAAATTGTGGTCCACTATGTGGGAGTCCAGCAATGTAACCATTATGCTACCTGCTGGTCCTACAAAGTATTTTTACTCCATGGGTTTTTATCAGTAGAAATAATGATAGTGGTATAATTTTGGTTACTAATATGAATATAAATATGTCTTATTCTTTCTGATTTTAGACACCTAGACCCTTTTGGAACATCAGTGAACTATCTAGACTCTGCATTCAGAAATATAAGAAATCTGGGTATAGTGTCGGTGACTTCTACAGACATCAGTTCCCTCTATGCCAAGGCACAGCATGTGGCCCGACGTCACTATGGCTGTAACATTGTCCGGACCGAATACTACCTAGCCGCCAGGATTGTGGCAGCCGCAGTGGCAAGGTACCACATGGCAACAGGGTACCCTGTCTGTTTTGGTTATGACAGAAAGATAAGATGTTACAAGAAGCATTGATTTCATTTTTCAAAATACATATGAAGGGAACCAGCAGTTAGCGTAATGGCTATGTCGCTGGATTCCCACGTAGTCGACCGCGGTTCGTGTCCCGGACCTGGTGGCTTAAAACTCACGCCGGGCGCGTGTGCATGCGTGCCCAAGATCCCGAGAGGAGAATGGAGGAGAAGGGATAGTGGCGTGACCATCCCCCCTGGGGGGTGATTTCTCGCTTTCTGTCTCTATGTCTCTCTCTGTCTGTCTGGCGAGCGCACACGCCCTACAGTGAAAATCTCTCAAAAAAAAAAAAAAACATATGAAATATAAATTCTGTGTCCCTTATCTATAATCTTGATTTGTTCTAAATCTTCTGTTGTATCTGTTAGAGTTTTATTTTAAAACTTATGTCTAAGGTGCCGGCAGGTAACGTGGTAGTTAAGGGTGCTGGATTCCCACATGGCTGACCACATTTCGAGTCCCAGATCTGATGGCTTGCTTTCTCACTTTCTCTCTTTCTTTCTCTCTCTGTCCCTCTCTGGTCAAATTAAAATAAATAAATATACAAATAAAGTTAAATAAAAAATAATTCTTTAAAAAAAAAAACTTATGTCTAATATATCCAGTTTCTTCTGCCGCTTTGTTATTAAGGGTGAGCACTGTGGCCTAGTGATTAAGAGAGCCACATCTTGGAACCAGCAGTTAGCGTAATAGCTATGTCACTGAACTCCCATATAGTCGACCATGGTTTGTGTCCCGGACCTGATGGCTTAAACTAATGCCGGGCGTGTGTGCGTGCATGCCCAAGATCCTGAGAGGAGAATGGAGGAGAAAGGATTGCAGCCTGGCCATCCCCCCTGGGAGGTGATTTCTTGCTTCCTATCTCTCTGTCTCATCCTGTCTTTCTGGAGAGCACACGTGCCCTATAGCAAAAAAAAAAAAAAACAACTCTAAAAAAAAAAAAAGAAAGAAGAAGAAAACACACCAGGCACCACGTGCGTGCATGCCCCAAATTCCAACAGGATGGAGAAATGAAGGAGAAGGGATTGTGGTGTGACCACATCCATTAGGGGTTCTTTCTCCCTCTCTCTGTCTATCCAGTGAGCGCACATACTCTCTGGGAAATTAAAAATATAAATAAGTATTAAAATAATTAAAGTTGTAAAAAAAATTGTAAGCAAAAGTTAATTTCAAATCAATTTATTTGAACAATATAAGGTAGATAAGGGATGGAATGTGAAACGGAAAAGCAAAAAAACTGTAGGTTTGGAAAACAACATATGGATGGTAATACCTATTTCAGCATATATGCTTATTACAGACTTCACAGATAGACCTTCAGATTTTTCTTAATTCACCAAAAATTATTCTTATTCATTTAATTCCATTTGTTATTATTTAAATTTGACCAGAGAGAGAGAGAAAGGAAAAGTAAGAAAGCAAGCTTTCAGGTCCAGGACACAAACCATGGTCGCCCATGTGGGAATCCAGCACCTTTAACTACCATGCCACCTGCCAGCCCCTCACTGAAAATTCTAAAGCTCAGTTTGATGTTTATGCCAAGGACCTACTACATATATTTTATATTTATAGCATAACATCAAATTCAAGTTGCTAACTGTGAATAAATTTAGAAAATTATTGCAGAGGGAGAAAAGTATATAAATGGTGTATTAGTAGAACTTAGTCTCAAAAGTCTATAAAATTAATGGTGGAAAGGATTACTATTTATTTTTCACTGAGTTTTCAGTGGTTCACATACCATCATCCTACATGTAATCAATATTCTGTATCATTTAGAAGAGGCTTTTAGGGACCAGCAGTTAACGTAATGGCTATGTCGCTGGACTCCCACATAGTCGACCGTGGTTTGCGTCCCGGACCCAGTGGCTTAAAACTCACGCCGGGCGCGTGTGCGTGCATGCCCAAGATCCCGAGAGGAGAATGGAGGAGAAGGGATTGCGGCATGGCCATCCCCCCTGGGAGTGATTTCTCGCTTTCTGTCTGTCTCTGTCTGTCTGGCGAGCACACGTGCCCTATAGCAAAAACCTCTCAAAAAAAAAAAAAAAAAGAGGCTTTTATAGGGAAAATAGGTACAAAGCAAAAAGGTGGTCTTGACAGAAACCAAGTGGCGCAGGAAACCAAAGAACGTGGACCTATCAAGAGCTTGTCACAAGAGGACACATCTCGAGACTGACAACCCTGCCAAGCTTCCTTTAGTCCTTGTAGTCAGCTGCGTAAAAGATAACTAATGACTTGTAAAAGCACACCACTAAAGCTGAATTATGCTTGCTTTCCATAGTTTACTATCTGGATTGGTGTTGTCGGTAGAGTGCTAAGCAGAGGAAAATGATGAGCCCCCAACATAACTTTTTCAAATGCTTTACAGAGCTGCAGCCCGATGCAACAAAGGCATAGAAGTCCTGTTCGCGGTGGCCCTGGAGCACTTCGTGTTGGTAGTTGTGAGGGTGCTGAGGGGGCCTTCTTCAGCAGATGAGACAGCCAAGAAGATTCAGTACCTGATCCACTGTCAGTGGTGTGAAGAGAGAATTTTTCAGAAGGATGGTAACATGGTAGAAGGTAAATTCAAGTTCCTCTTGACTATGTATTATATTTAATTCACCTATAAGCCCCCAGTGGATAAACCTTTCTCCTCTCCCTAATTATACATATTACTGTCTTTGATTTTGAAGATTCCAATGCTAAGTTTATTTCCTATACTGGATTTCCTTTCATCAAAGACAAGACATCCGAGTGAGTTTATTGCAGCTGTTCACTCATGCTGTACAGTGTATGCTCTCTAGGCCTGCCCGCTATTCAAACATTTAGGAATAACTTAGTTTCCACCATCAACTAATTTTAGGAACATTAAGTGATACCTCTTTGTTTAGGCTATTAGAACTCATTAATTTTATAAAAATAATTTTCATGTTTCTGGCTGAATATAAAAGCCCTGTCATAAAATTCATTCAATAAACATTGAGTCTCTACTACATGCCAGGCCTGGGGATAGAAGATGAGAGCCATGGCTCACGCCCTCATAGATAAAGCTGTTGCTGTTTGCTTTTCTGGGACATAGAAATTGCCCATTGTTTTCTGTTAAGTTCCTGGTATTTTTAAAAAATTATTTATTTAGGGACCAACCAGCAGTTGGTGTAATTGCTGTGTCGCTGGACTCCCATGCAGGCAACCGCAGTATGAATCTCAGACCCCGTAGCTTAAACTCACGCTGGGCACATGTACGTGCGTGCCAAAGATCCCGAGAGGAGAATGGAGGAGAAGGGATTGAGGCATGGCCATCCCCCCTGGGGGGTGATGTCTTGCTTTCTGTCTCTTTGCCTCTCTCTGTCTTTCTGACAAGCGCACATGCCCTATAGCAAAAACCTCTCCCCCAAAATTATTTATTTAATTTAAGAAATTTACTTATTTTAATTTGACCAGAGAGGAAACAAGAAATCTGGTCTGAGACTCTCATTGCCCATGTGAGAGTTCAGCACCTTCACCATGCCACCTGCTGACTCCAGTATTTTTTTCTATATACATTTAACCACAATACATCATTTAGCTTTTAGAGAGTATTTACCCAGCATGAAATATACCTCAGTTTTGGGGGTTTTTTGTTTGTTTGTTTGTTTGTTTTGTTTTTGAGAGAAAGATTTTTGCTATAGGGTGTGAGTGCTTGCCAGAGAGAAAACAAGAAATCACCCACCAGGGAAGATCTGCATCCGACAGTCCCCTCTCCTCCATTCTCCCCTCGGGATTCCAGGCATGCACGCACACATGCCTGGCATGAGTTTCAAGCCACTGGGTCTAGGACTCAAACTGCAGTTGACTATATGGGAGTCCAGCAACATAACCATTACACCATCTGCTGCTCCCAAACCCGGTATTTTTTCATATGAATTTTTAAGAACTCTTTATATATGGTGGGACTGGCAGGTGGTATGGTGGGTTAGGGGGCCGGACT